TATTTAATATATTTAATATATTATTTATTTAATATATTTAATAATATTATTTATTTAATATATTATTACATGTTTTCAAAAATTAAACCACCAAACGCAGTTTCAGTTTTTTTTAAAACTGAAATCAATCTCTAAATAAAACTACCAAACGCATTTTTAGAAATAATTCAAAAATGAAACTAAAAACGTTTTCATTTTCATTTTCGTACAGAAAATAAAAACGTTTTGGAACCAATTCCAAACGCACCAGTAAAATCTATCTTACATCCGAACCGCAAAATATAGTTGCTTTTTTTAAGTTTCTAACTATCATATTTTTCATTCTAATATTATAATTTAATATTTAAATGTAAGAAATTGTGGTTTTGGCTACAAAATTTTTAGCTACAAATGTAAATTTGCTGTGACTAAATATTTATTATTAATTACAAATTCTATTTAGTAGCTAAAATTTTGTCACTGAATTATCAGAATCAGAATTTTAGCAAAGTAAATATAAGATTTAGCTACAAAATTTAGTTTTCGTAGTTGATTTTTAAAGTTAGTGACAAAAAACATTTGTAACAAAAAACATGAAGTCATAGCTACAAAAGCATTTTGTGGCTATTATCAGAATTCAGAAACTTGTTAGACTATAATATTATTTTTCTTAATAAAAAATGTTTTTTAATCTCTCTTTCTCACCCTTTGCTCTCTCTCTCTCTCACCGGACAATCGCCGGAGTTTTCATGGCGAGTATGCTCTTTCTCGTTTTCGTCAGACCAGATTGAGTATCGATTGGAGTTTTCGCAAACAATTGTTGGCTTTTCTCTCTTTCTTCCTCGTCGGACAATGGCTCATTTGCATAAAATGCTCACCACTGCAGCAGCCGTCGCCGGTGAACCCTCCGAAGAACCAAGCAGCCTCATATTGGAAGGTAAGTTTGATGCTCGCTCCTCCACATAATCAATCATTGTGAAGTAATTCACTTGTAAAACTAAATTGATGACTTTATAGTTTTTCTAGTGCAGAATTAAGCAAGGAAAATAATTACAGAAAAAGGCATCCAAGGACATTAAGTTCATTTATACACATTTGCAAAAATTAACATCTTTTTTAGCCGATACTATTAGACTGATCACTTGTAATACTTTTGTTTGTTCTGTTAATGAGTGACTGATCATATATATATATATATATATATATATATCTGTGTATATATATGTATAATCATTTGTTGCATATATAGTAGTTTACTAATATTTCATTTATTATTATTGACTAGTGTTTCGTTGGTTACAGACTAGTGAAGTAGGGTAAACATCCTTGAGCAGCAAGAAACGATAGAATTGAAGAGTTTGAAGTACAGCTTCAAGAGGCAAAGGGTGTAATAATGATTTAGAAGGGTAAACATATTCTGATGTAAAAAAAAAAAAAAAAAAAAATTTATTATACACACTTGCAATATGTTAATATTGGATTGAGTATGAATAATTTTTCTATTGTATACTGAGATTTGCTGACAATCATTTGGTACAAGTAATATTACTATTTTTGAATTTTGTACAATTTAAAATTTTTTTTCCTAACAGTATGATGATTTAGCTACAAAATCGACAGTTTGTCACTAATTCTCAACCCAAATTAGTGACAAAATGCTGATGTGTAGTTAAAAGACAACTTTAGCTACAAATTTGTGAAATTAGCTACAATGTTTTTAGTCTTTGGTGACAAAATGAGTTGTAGCTAAAATTATCACATTTAGCTACCAAACTTATTTTGTAGCTAATGGTAACACATTTAGCTACAAACACACAATTTTTGTAGCTACACACTTTTAGTGTTATAAACAAAAAAATTTGTAGCTAATTCTATTAGCTACAAAATTTTAACATATAGCTACAAAAGTGCTTTGTAGCTAAATCCAAGTTTTCTTGTAGTGCTTAGAAACTTACCCCATTGGTACCTAGCTATCTCAACCACACCAAAAAAAAAAAAAAAAGAAGTTAATAAAGAAACTAATATCAAGGATACTGTATTATTTTTATTTCCATTTACAACTTATGGCACAAATGCCAACTGAATTTAACTGGTTTTACAATTGGTTGTAAATTTAAAAACTGCAGTATTTAGGTCTATGAATCTAAACATTACTTATCAGCGGTGTTTCAAAATGATTAAAAAAGCGGTTGCATTTAATACATATCGGACTGCACCGAGGGATTCGACTCGCATGTCCCCTTTTTTTCAGGTAAAACGTGGAAAAATAACAACCATTGTTGATTGAACAAATATTGGACATCTTATTTAAAATTGGCATGAAAGTACAATTTTAGCTACAAAATGTTTTCAATCAATTTTCTTTATACATTCCTTGAAACTGAAAAGTTTTCTAATAGCAAACTGCTTTAGCCTTAATCTTAATAGAACCAAACAAACACGAGTTTTAACATAGAGAACGTTTTTACTATTCTGAAGCTAACTCGATTTCAAATGTATTCTGCACATGATTGGAATGAATTTTTCCGAAACTCGTCTTGCTTGATGAGTATGTGTCAGAGCTCTCACGGTCGTTTCCACCCCGTGCCGCGCTAAACATGGAGCCAGGAGATGGCCGGTGATCGAAAGGACATGGTGGTGGATTAACTTCCTTGCTTCCCTCTAGCATCTGAACCACATTGCTCATCGAAGGTCTTTCCTCCGGCGAGTTTTGAATGCACCACAGAGCTACGATCAACATCCTCTCTGCTTTTTCTCTGTTTCTCTCCTCAACCCCACAAAGAGAAAGCATAACTTTTAGTTCCATGTGTTCATACATTTCCCAAGCCCATTTCGGAAGCCACTGTCTCGATTCGCTTAAACCCTCATCGAAATGCCGCCTCCTTCCCACGATCTCGAAGAGAAGAATTCCAAAACTATACACATCGCACTTGTGAGTCACAGGATAAGGCTTCCACATCTCGGGCGCAGCATACCCTGGCGTCCCTCTTCCATCCACCATGAGAGTTCTTTGACTGCCTTCGCTGTTGCAAAGCTTTGCCAACCCGAAATCCGCTACCTTTGGATTGAGGTTCTTGTCAAGAAGTACATTCCCGGGCTTTATGTCATAGTGTATGATCTTCCTTTCACACCCTTCATGCAAATAAGCTATCCCTTTCCCTGTTTGTACCGCAATGTCATGAAGCTTCTCCCACTCAATTTCCCTGCTCTCATCAAACAAGATTTTGTCAAGAGAGCCATTCTCCATGTACTCGTAAACAAGAGCTTTCGTCGAAGGGTCGAAACAGAATCCGTAGAGTTTGACTAAGTTTATGTGGTAAGTTCTTCCCAAAGTGGCAACTTCAGCCATAAACTGCTCTTCAACTCTTTTGTCCCAATTGTTGTTGAGCATTTTTACAGCCAAATGAACTCCATTAATTGGGAGAACCCCTTTGAAAACAACACCGAAACCGCCCGAACCCAATACAGTGGCAAAGTTATCGGTGAATTCCTCGAGTTGCGCACTCGAGAATCTGACAGGCTTTTCTCTTGCCATTTTGCTGAGAAACCTCTCTATAGTTGCATATTCCGCTTCTGAGTTTGATAATATTACTGGGATTTCTGGTTTCGCAATTTCTTCTTTATTTGGTGATGAAAGTTTTTGGTTTGATGCTTCTTCTATTTTAGTATCGCTGGTTGCTATCTTTGCATAAGCTGGAACAGCACTTCCACACTTCTTTAAGCAGTCAATAATGGCGTATACAATCATTATGATCGCAACAGTCCCAATCAGGCCAGAAACTGTAAGATATATATAAATTGCTGGATATAAGAGATATTACTCAGAAAAGCCATGGAAATATAAATATTGGAAAAAGAAAAGAAAAAAAAAACATACGTTTAGAAATCCTATCACGATCATGTCTAATTATAAATTATTTTCTTTAGATTGTTGTATTGTTTCTGTCTAAGAACATTATGATGAATTACTTCGCCATTCTTTTCAAATATTTAAATCATCGTTAATGTTATTGTTGTTGTTATTGAGTTGTTTTATGCTTATTTTAATATGTATTGATTATTTAATAAGTATTTCATGCATCGGGATGGCAACGGGGGGCAGGAGAGGAGAATGACTTTGGTTATTTAATGTTTTGTGAGGGATACATGTAATTTGGTGCAAATATAAGTTCATTGTCAGTAGTGTTGTCAGCATAAATAATTTATTTTGGAACCAAATGCATAATTAAATGAAAAACAAAAACATAATCCGTACTCAAGTGTTTGTTTTTCTTTAACGTAGAGAACGTCACTTGCTACTTCCAAACTATAATTTGGGGTTAATCTCAGCAGCACTTTGAATTTTGTGATCATTCGTAGTTTACCTCTGGCACTTTTAAAAACTCTCACTTTAGTTTTTAAATTTTAAATTAATCTCACTTAACCTCTTTTTTTAAATTTTTGTTAAAATCAAGCGTAAAAAGAGGGGATTAACTATGACCATGTGGTATTTTTTAAGTTTTAGTAGAAAGATCGCGTGATTGCTGCCTTGTTCTTTCCGTTTAATATTTTTTTAATAAGTTCTAACAGATAAGCTTAAGTTGGACTAATTCAATATTCAGAAGGCAAAGTGAAAGTTTTATAAAGTTGGGATGACGATGGTGATGAGGATGGACGTGATTGGGGCTGCCTTAGTGGTGTCTTCCATGTGTCTCAATCAGAATTGAAGGCCATTTGTTGATCAATTGCTGAATGGGGCGTTTTTGGGGCTGCCTTAGTGGTCTTATCAGTTTTTTTTTTTTTCCAAGTGTTTTAGTGTGCGTTTTATGGCTGAAATTAAGTCTGATAATTAGCTAGTTAAAGTGGGAGCTAATTAGCTAATTTAGGAGTAGTTATGTGTGTTTTAGGTATGTTTATTACAGCAATATGTGGCTGTTGGTTTTTTGTTGTTTTATGGTTAATTTTAGGGGTTTGTGAGGTTGTAAATTCTGGAGTTACAACAATTTATTGTTGTTAATACCTGGAATTAGTTATTGGTGTGTTAAAAGGAAATTAGTGCCATTAATGTATTTCTTAAAGTGTGTAATGGCCATTTTAGAAGCTGATTGGTTTGGCTCAGCTTTTGGCTTTTTAAATATGTAATTATCAGATATGAAAAGAAGTTTTTTGGATGATTGAAATTTAAGAGAAAACCTATTATGTTTTTCCTTCATTTCTCTTATCTCTTGGTGGATTCCTCGAGTGGCGAGATTAAGACTTATCTTGGTCGATTTCAAGTAGCGTCGAACTTATCCTTTTATTACTTTGTTGTTAACCCATACCTGAATCTTAACCAACCTGTTGTTCCTCTTCTAAACAGTACCTAAATTTCATTTTGCCAATCCTAAGCACTTCCAATAAGCCGAAAAACGCCCTAACCCTATCAAACGAGTATACCCTTACCTATTTCCATAGGAACGGTATCAAGTTCGAGTGTCAAACTAAGCATGATCCAAAGTTTGGGGAGCACCGCTGAGAATATCCTAAGAATGACTAACATGTAACTTTCTAAATAAAAGAATTATTATCACCAGTACTCCCTAAATTTTAATGTCACAGTTTGCGTCTCTAATTTTAAAAATTCTCACTTTACTCTCTGAATTAAATTGTTTCTACTTAACCCTTTTTGTTGTAATTTTTAATAAAAACAAATAAAAAAAGAAGAGTAATGCAATCATGTTGTAATGACTGAGAAAATTTCAGACCTTAAATAATACAATTCATGTATTTTTAAGCCAAGGATTTTCTTAGAAAATATTATGTTATATTGTGAATGGAGGATTTATGGAATTAATATATGTATTCCTAAATTCTATAGCAAATTTCATGTTAAGTTCATGTTTCGATCAAGTAAATTCGATCGATAAATTCTCACCGTATTTTAAGGCAGAATAATTTTCAGTACAAGTATAGTTTGAGAATCTTAATTTCAAGAATCTCTAAGCACAGCACGATGTTAGCGGCATATAAAAAAAACGCACTGACATTTTAAAAGAAGAAAAAAATCCTTAATTGCCAAACAGTTAGGTTAAAGTCACAAGATAAATACCTATAGTAGATGGATACAATATGAGCTCAGGAGTTGACACTGTCAGAAACGTCATTCTCGGGATAGAATACAGAAAATTAAAATTTAGAATTTGTTCAGTCTAAAATTAATTTTAAGACTTGAAACAGTTTGAAAAATTACGCGAGTAAGAATATAAAACAATATTTAATTATTCAGAAATTGATATTGGACTGTAAGTAGTAGATTAACTTACGTGAGCTAAACTAATTACCTCTAATCAGTATAAATTTAATCTGTTTAGAGGAAATAATTGAGGATAAGATCAGGCACGTAATCTTGCCTTAATCAGATACTTTATATAGTGAAATTTTTAGGGTTCTTACACTTTCTTTCTCTTATTCTCGCTCATTCTCTCTCTCCTCTCACATTTTCTCTCACACAAACCATCAATGGCCAAATACTCAAGTTAAGATTCCGACCTCCATTTTTGACACCGCCGGTGTCAATAGAAAGATCTCGACGAGCTGAGTTCAACGACATGCGGCACGACCTCCAACTCCGCCGGAATCAGCCGCAATCGCCGGCGAAAGTTCCGAAAATACCAATTTCTTCCCGTC